GACCAGCATGTCTATGTTAGGCAAAGGAAAAGCATCTTTCGGGCAAGCCCGGTTGAGATCGGTATAATCAACGCACATCCTCCATTTTCCATTATTCTTTTTAACGAGTACAACATTTGACAGCCAGGTGGAATACCGGGCTTCAGAAATAAAATTTGCCTCTAGGAGGTCTTTTACAGCTTTATCAGCAGCCTCCATTTTTTCTGGAGACTGCCTACGCCTACGTTGTACTACGGCCTTAGCGGCTGGATCAATGGCGAGGTGGTGACAGGCAACCTCAGGGTCGAGTCCGGGCATCTCCGCGGCGCTCCAGGCGAATAGATCAGCATTCTCGCGCAAACAGGCCTTGATTTGCTTCCTGGCCAAGTCGGGGAGGTCTTTGCCAATCTTCACTCCCTTGGTCGGGTCTGTGCCGAGGGGGACGAGTTCAAAATCCCCGTCCGGTATTGGTCGGAGTGGGATTTGCTCGCCGCTGGATGGCTCGTCCTGGTCGAAGCGAGTGTCCAGAGCTATGGAATCAACTTTTGGTGGAGCTTTCTGGACTTCTTCCTCGGGGGATGCTTTCTTGTCGGGCTCCTGTCTTGTCCTTTTGGCTGGTCTGGTCCCTATGTCGACAATATCACGTCCCTTGGAAGCGGCGTTGAAGCACCTGCGGGCAGCGGCTAGGTCTCCTTGGATAATAGCTACTCGTGCCCTCTTGGTGTAGAACTTCATCTTCAGGTGGACGGTCGAGGGTACCGCTGTCAACTCTGCCAGTGTCAGTCTCCCCAAGATGCAGTTATATAGAGACGGGCAGTCGATGACTAGGAAGTGTACTTTGACTTGTCTCGTAGCCATCCCTTCGCCGAACGTAACCAGAAGCTCGACATATCCCCAAGGCTTGGAGGTCGAGCCGTTAAAACCTTGTAAGTCTGAACCCACATATGGCGAAAGATGTGAGTCGTCCAGCTGAAGGGTTCGGAACAGTTGGCTGTACATGACGTCGACGGAACTCCCTTCGTCGACCAGGATGCGATGCACATTAAAATTGGCCATTCTTGCCCTTATCAGTAAGGGGATGACCGCGTTCGGGGCTCCGCCGGGGAGCTCTTCTAGGTAGAAGGTGATGGGCTCTGACCTGCCCTTCACCCTTTCGAACGTCACTGTTTGCGGGGGAGGCGCGTCGACCAGCTCGTCCAGCTTCCTCTTGGCTGAATTGATGGTCAAGTCGTTGAACCCGCCGCTGTTGATGACCAAGGTGGAGGGGAAGTATTCCCACCTGCTGTGCGTCGTAAGCGGCTCCTGCAGGTGCTCGAGGAAGTCGAAGTCCTCGGGCCTGGTCACCGAGAAGGCAGTTTGGATGGGCACCGACTCGTCAGATGGTCGGGCGTCTTCTTCTGTCTCCCTGGTTTCTTGGGCGTCACGACGGGGAGCGTCGCTTCGCCGGTACTGCGCGAGCCTCCCTCCCTTGATGAGGGTTTTAATGGCGTCCTTGAGGTGGACGCAATCCTCAGTCAGGTGACCATGGCTCCTATGGTACTGACAATATTTGTTTTTGTCTGCTCCGGGCTTGGCGGGAGCAGGTCGGGGACGTTTGACACCGCCGTCATTGAAATCAGTGCTGGCACACTCCGCCAGAATGCGCTCGCGGGAAGTCGTGAGCGGAGTGTACTCGGTGAAGCGCCCCGAAGGTCCTCTTTGTTCCCGGACTTCCTGGGGTCTGTCTTCCTTCCTTTTCTCCCCGGTTCGTCGAGGAGGAGCTTCTTGGCGCGAGCTACTGTTGGGACCACGAGTCCTGGAATCTCGGGCTCTGTTGGCCGCTTCCCTCTCCTCGTAGTCCATGTATGCTCGGGCTTTTTCGAGGAGGGCATCGAATGTCCGAGGTGGCTCGATACCCACAGCCTTTCTGAATTCCGTGCCGGGGAGGAGCCCTCTCTCCAGCAAATATCTTTTCATATGGTCCGCACAGGGGACCTGTATTGCTTCCCGGTTGAAACGGTTGATGAATTCCCTCAAGGTTTCATCCTGTCTTTGGATGATGGCCTCGAGAGCCGCCTCGGTCTTCGGGTGCCGTCGAGAAGCTGTGAAGGAACTGATGAACTGGTTCTTCAGGTTCCGCCACGAGGTGATTGAGCCCGGGGCGAGCCCTTTGTACCAGTCCATTGCCGCCTTCCTGAGAGTCGTGGGGAATAGACGGCACTTGATGGGCCCCCCGACATTGTGATAATGAAGCATAGCCTCGAACCCGTCTATGTGGTCGACTGGGTCCGCGACTCCATCGTACTCCTTCAAGTGAGGGGGCTTCTCCATGCCCGGGGGAATGGGCGCCTCCATAATAGCCTGTGACAGGGGACCGCGGGGGTCGTCCTCGTCGCTTCTCTCTGGAGACAGAGATGGGGACCTGTAATATTGTCTGGCACGACGGTCCAGGTCGTGCTGTGTCTCTCTCGAGCGGGATGCTCGGTGGTTGAATTTTACACGTCCGTCTCCGGAGTGTCTTTGTCTCGCCGGGTCACGGGAAGGTTCTCCGGCTTGAATGATGGGCTGCCTCTCCAGATGAGGCCGTTTCTGTTTTGGCTGGGGAGATTGGCTTCGAGAGGTCTCCCTGTAATGTCTCCGCGGGGGAGATGGATGTCGAGCTTCAGTTACTCGAGGAGGGGGAGTATGGGGTCTCCTATGCCTCCTCGGGGGTCTTCGCTCGTCTTCAAGCGCCCTCAGTCTCTCCCCTTGGGCGAAGATGAGATAGTTCGTTTGATTAATTGCTACAAACAGCGCTTGAGTTGTGGCATCCGCCCCGGTGGGGACTTCCTGGAACCGGGCAGCTCTGTAGTGTGCGAGGGCCACCGGGTCGTCTTCAAGTGGTGGAGGGACCGAGGATGATGATGCAGTAGCTCCGTCCCTGTAGGAGAAAGTTCCGGGGGCGGTTGTCGCAGGAATGGTGTTGTGGCCGGGGTTGTCGGCGTTATCAAGGTGTCCGTTTTTGTCCGCGGTGCCGTTATTAGTGTCGACGACACGGACGTTCTGCTCATCGCGAGCTTGATCAGCCATGACAGATAGTTGAATTTGAGCTTTGGTCTTTGAGTTTGCAAGACGGGGAAGCTAAATTCCCACAGACGGCGCCATTGATCTAACCTGATCAGACTTGGACCGTCACGGCTGGCTCCGAGCTGAAGTTTTGAACGAGGTGGGGGGGGGGGGGGTACCTGCAAGGCACTCCGATGCTGAAGTAAGTAAGAGTACGAGCAGGCAAAAGTGTGAGTATATGTGATAGATTGAATACCTGACCCTCTGGTAACAGAGGGTATTTATAGCCCCCAACGTTGGGCCGGGCAGGTTTGGCCCAATGGAGGAACTGCCAGGTTCTACGTGCGTAGTGGGGACCTGCACGTGGTCCCCTCCCTGGATGTTCTGCGTGAAGTGCGGGCGGACAGGGACGCGGTCTTTTCGGAGTCCCGTTGAGAGTGTAGTGGGCCGTGTCCGCTGGCGAAGGAGCGCTCGAGCTGATGTCGAGCTGGACAGTACGAGGACGGGGGTGTCGCCTAGTGACGTGTGTCGGGCATAGCTATGGTCCTTAGGTCGGCGTGACCCCTAGCAAATTCGTTTGAATTGGGCCTTTATCGTTGCTATTGGGCCAGCCGGACCCAGTCCAGAACAGTAAATATAAATAGGAGTGTTTAAAACGGATTTGATTGGTTGGACATGTTCGTTTTATCTATATTTTAATACATGACAGATCTAAATGAAATAGATATGTTCATTTGCTATCTCTAATCACATACCTAACAAATAAGATTATACACAGTCAATTATAATTTTTTATTAATTAAAAAATAAAATAAATAATTTATTTCTCCTTCGTTATCACAATCATCTTCACGATGATAATTTAAAATAAATTATTTTAAATAAATTAAAAAATTCCTATGTTCTTATTAGTTGTTTTAAAAAAAATAATTTAGTTTCTTTCTCATTCAAGAATTCTTCTTTTTAATCGCTAGTCAAAAGTTAAAATGTGATGATTGGTTACTACTAGACATGGCAACGTGGCGGAACGGGGGCGATTTTTGTATTTCTTAAACTCAAACTCGAATTTAAGATAAATACTTGTTATCCGCCCCAATCCCCGTCGGAGATGAATAATTGAATCTCAAACCCGTTTCAAATTGGTTCGGGGATCTCCGCCCCGTTCCAAACCTTAAAAAATGTCTCAAATCCAAAAACTTTCTCAAACCTAAAATTTATCCCGAACCTAAAACCTGTCTCAATCTTAACATATATTAACTTATATTACAAATATAAAATACAATCTCAAAGAATTTTAAACATATATTTCAAATAATAAAATACTAACAAAAGTATTATTTTATCAACCATACTACTACTACTACTAATAATAATAATAATAATAATAATAATAATAATAATAATAATAATAATAATAATAATAATAATAATAATAAATGAGACGGATTCGGGAGCGGGTTCGGGATGAGCACTACCCTCTCCATTATCTGTCTCGTCCTCGTATCTTGAAATGGAAGAAAATCCAAATCCAAATCCAAACGCAATCAAAGCGGATTTTCTCTGTCAAATTTGGGACGGGTTTGGACAGATATCCACAAGTATGTGTTATATTGTCATGTCTAGTTGCTACTCAAATTCGCGGAGACATCAATGCGGGTGTCCTCGTCCTCCTTGAAACAGAGTAACTATAAAAACTACCGACCAAGGCCATAGATTATGAGACAAAACACGGATCTGGATTATCTATAGTCACTGTGACTGCAGGATCTGCTTTTGGTTGAAATTGATGAGATGGAATTTGGAGAGAGATAATAATGGGAACTGTAATAACAAAAAAGACCTCCAAAATACACTAATTACAGCCTGAGTGCATATAACCGCAGGATTTGTGAATGCAGTGGATTAAAATCTACAAAACACGGGGAACTCGTTAAACATAACGAGAGCAATGCACAAAACAAAAAAGAAAAATTGTAAGACAAACATATAAATCGCATTTAACAAATCATTTCATTTTCAGAAAATTCTTCTTCATTGTGTGGTTGTTCATTTTCATCTATGACATCATCATCAATATCAATCTCACTATCTTCTTCTTGTTCTTCTTCCCTGTCAAAACTTGTAGTTTCATTTGTCAAAAAACACAGGCGAAGACGACCATGGCTTCTATCAGCTTCGAAACAAGATGTTCTTCGTGGAACCTTACTGACTTCAACCAGTAATCTTCCATCTTCGCGGCGAGGTCTAACACGAAAAGATTCCGATCCTCTTATCGTTGTCAAAGGTGGCGGGTAATTCTGAATTTTCACTTTCTTAGTATCCTCTAAAACTCGACAACAAGCTTCTCTTTGTTCTGTTGTTCCCATTAAAGACAATAGCATGTCGTTTTCTACAATGTTAATACCACTCTCATTACCAAGACTCTCTGTGCACATTTCAAGACTCTTTGGACTCAAAACCAAAGAGGAACGTTTCTGTTGAGGATGGACATAACTGGTTGTGGTTTCTTTCGTTGATGTGTTTTGTGAGATATTGGAAAGAGCATCAACCAAGTTCCAACCACCATTGATGGGCTTGCTTTGAAAAGTTTCTGTTTTGTTCATGTTTGAATCAGGGAAGCAAGATTTGAAGGCTAAATCAGTGGATTGTTTTGGAGAAGGCAATCTTAATGTTACTGTTCTTGATTCAACAAGTTGAGATTCAAGATGCAACTGCAATCTAGGATGGTGTACGATTGCAGCCATGATTGATGTTTATGTCTTAACTAGGATGTTTCAAAGTTAAGATGAAAGGACTAAGAGAGTGTTAAAGAATGAAATAAGAATGAGAATGGTGTGTGGAAGAAGTGAAGGGAGTAATGGCTGAATTTGTAGTCCCAAAAAAGTGTTTGTGACATGGAATAGGAAAAAGGAGCCTTTTTGAGCCATTTCTGTTAAACAATCTCATAATGACAAATGTTTTTTTTTACTCAATATTTTGATACTTTGTATTGCCTATGTACTTTGATATTTAAATAAAGAAAGACTTAAATGTATTTTTGATTATCTATTTTGATAAAAAATAATATTTTAATTTATTTGATCAAATATTCAGTTTTTTAGTCTCTCTACTTAATAAGTTTTTAAATTTCTTTGATTTTCTATGTGGAATATGCGCCAAAATGATTTGGTGACATGTAATGTTAGAATATACAATCACACAATTGATAAATAATGGAAGATTTGAATATGCGGAGAAAGAGATAATGAGATAGAAAAGAGTTAGATAGAGAGAGATAATTGAGGGTGATAATGTTATTCTACATTAACTATGATGATGATACTTCCAAGGCATTTATACAAACATTGAAATTCTGGTATAATAGACTTCATATGTCCTATGACACATTGAGACATTTGAATCTAAACAAACAACATGGCAAGGTATAACAATAAAAACAATACTGAAAAACATAAACAACACACATGAATTATTAACCTAGTTCGGTCTAATTACCTACTCTGGGGGCATACCAAGCTAGGGACAAATCCACAATGATAGTATCAATTCATAGATCCTACGTCAAACATATCAGTTTATGATCTACTCACTTAATCACTACTTGTGTTATACTTCTATCTAAGACTCACCTAGATATGAGGCCCTCCTCAATCTCTCATCAATCATAGACAGCGATTGGACAAAACAGGAAGACACACTTCCATAACGCAAAATAAGAAGACACACTTTCATGACGAGAAGACACACTTCCATGATAATACCTAGTCAAGACTCTTGACTAAGAACACAACTCAGATTTTCTTAAAAGCTTCATCCAAGAACAACACCCAACTCATTACCTAAAGGCTTCTGAGTGAAAACAATAATAGAGACTACAACTCTATAACATCATTCGAACTCACAACCGATTGTGTGATATGGTGGCAGAACCGACTGTGTGATATGGTGGCAGAACCGACTGTTAATACTGGTTTGTATTTTTCGTTCGCAAATGTCGCGGTAAGCAAGAGTCTCCACCGACTTTTATTTTATCCAATCTGGAAAAGGAAAAAGAACAGAAAAAAACCTTTTTCGAGATGTTTCTGAGTACGGGGGGTAGATTATAGAAAGAGAAGGTGTTAGCACCCTTTCTATCTGTGGTTTTCCACGGGCTCTTAGGTACTTGCTCATTTTGAAAACTGCTTGTGTGTACTTGTTTTAAAAAGTTTTGTTTTACTTCATATTAACCATTGTTTCTGTCCTCAAGAGTGTTACAAAGTTGTTTTTTGAAAACTTTGTTTGAAAAGTGTTGGTGTGAAAAAGTTTTTGTTTGTTTGAGCAAGTACCTAGGAACTAATCTACCTACTCGAAAAAGGTCTGCTCATTTTCCTTTTAGACAATGCTATCCCATTATTGAGAAATAGGTAGCATCGTCGTTGGAGTTTTTTAGGGACATTCGAAGGGACAAATACGATCACAAAAGCAATGTTAGGAAATGTTAGTAATCATCCTAAAGCCTTAAAGATCTTTTTCCGAGGCAACATCCAAATGGGTCATTTTAGATCTTTCAGGGCTAGAGGACAACCACTAATAAACCCTATACTTCATGACTGTTTACCGAAGGCAACCGGAGTGGAGTAAACCCTAGGAGTGAGCATGTGCAAATGTAATTTTCAGTTAATTTATCTTTGCACATTTAGGATTTTCTACCGTATTAATTTTCAGTTTGTCTTTCCATACAATCCTATTAACATACATCTAAGCAGTTTATAGTTTACAGAAATTAAAGCGAGAAAGTTAAAGTCCTAGCTATTACAGGGCTTTTGCAGATACATAATTATTTTGACCGAAAATAAAGATGCAGAATTGAAACCCTAATTATTATTACAATCTCGGAGCAGTTACAATAATAATAAAAAGGAAATTAAAAAATGCGCGCGACGAATTAAATGCGAGAATAATTAGCAAAACCTAAAAGATCTAATTTAAAAAAAATGTTTAGGTTAATTTTTTGAGAAAAAATCAGATTATATACAAAATTAAACCCTAAGTCTAATTATTTTAAATCATGACAAAAGAAAGAATTAAATTGCCTTAATTTAATTAAACTAATTAATTAATTAAAGAAACAATTTTTTTTTTATGAAAAATGATTTTGGATGTTTTTTATGATTTTTTGATTAAATGAAAAAGTAATGATTTTTGTGTTATTTTTAAAAAGAAAATAATTAGAAAATAATTAAAAGAATTAAAATAAAAAAGATAGAATGGGCCTGTTAGAAGCTGAATGAGGGGGTATGATGCTGAATTGCTTAGGCCCATGAAGCTGAGCCCATGTCCCACGCTTGATCCCATGTTGTGCTAGCCTGAGAGTGCACCATAGTCCTTCATTGTTTGAGGCGTTGGATCTGAGTTATTGATACATCCAATGGCCAGATGGTGGTAGCGCATGGTAGGCGTTTTGGATGATGATGCATTGAATCTGTAGAAACAAAGTAAGAAAATTAAATTTGCTGGGACCTGGAATCGAACCCAGGTCCTCCCACTCAAATCAATACGTGCCTTGTCATCTGGGATATCTGCTTCGTTTGTTAGTATGGTAAAAACAAATAATAATATATGAAAACACATGGATAAAAACAGAAAACACGCGCCAGCATTTGAATGGGCCAGTGAGGTTGCACCAACTCATCATCTTCCTCCTTGTCCGTCGTATTAGGTCATTACCTTTTACCTACGGACAGTTTGCCATAGCTACAAACCTCTGAGTTTCAAAAATCATCAAAGCGCATGATAAATTAAATGTGAACACATGGATCCATTCGTCTTGAACCCACGAGCATAATGGTATCCTTTTTATTGGCCAATTTAACTTGTGTAAGGAAACCCTAAAACAACCAAACAAACCCTAACCATGGCACATATGCATACATCATCAAAACACAAAATTATGTAAACCAAAACATTCCAAATGATAATACAAACACAATGTTATGTTTAATAATGATTAATCATGCGTAAATTAAGAAATCAAACTCAAGCTTGGATGTGCAAACCGTGGGTCTGTAACTCGAGATTCTGGACGTGGAAATGCTTGCAATTGATTGGGACACATTCTGGAGATGTCCAGGAGTCTATTGGTAGTGTTAGAATGGCTTGAATCACCCTCTAGGTCCAAGAACGATCCACCACTTTCTTGCAAATTTTTGAGTTTTGTTCTTGTATTCTCACGACTGTAATCCTTATGTTTTTGGCTTGTTCTTGCTCAATATATATGCTAGAATGAATTAGGGTAACAAAAATAATTTGAATCTTTAAAGATCATCAAGATCTGATTTATTTATTTTTTCTTTGCATCATATCTTTCTAATTGCATCAAAATCAGGCCAATTTGAGCCATTCCACCCTTGCACGATTTTATTTGGTCATGCTAGGTTGATTTGATTTGATTCCTACAAAAAAATTAGATCAAAATCAATCTTTTGTAGTTTTTGCCATTTATTTGATTTAATTTGTATTTTAAATAATAAAAAATCAAAAGAAAATAAATAATGAAGCAAGTAAAGTGTGGATGCTGATTTGGGTCGTGGACCATGTCCCCAATAAGATTCAATCATGAAAAGCTACGCCCATTTGACAAAAAATTCACTTTTGAGCACATTTGACTTTTGACAATTTTGCAAAAATGGTCAACATTGACAAGACATATCTCCTCCAATTTTAACCCTAGAGAGGTGTTCTTGGACTTTTTTAGTAGGATTTCCCCTAAACAACCCTTTTTGTTTCATCTCAATTGGGTCTTCCATGTTCATGTAAGAAGCTTTTACCCAAAAGGTGTTTTTGTTGACTTTTCAAAAGGACCTATAATATAGAAATTCATATCTTTTGATGAGTGCATATTTTGAACTTGTGGTATGAAGATGAGTTGTAGGGAATTGCATCCTATTCAAAATGAGTCTTGGATGGAAAATTTCTGATAAAGTATGAAGAAGTTATGCCTGGTCAAAGTTTGGTTGACTTTTCCTGTAAAACCCTAATTTAGCAACTTTTGGGTTTTGATGAATTTGGGGGCATTCCTTGAGGAATAATGACCAACCCTTGATCAAACGATGAATATCTCTTCAAAATGTTGATGTTGACCAAAAATCTTAAAGTTTGACTGTATGTGGGTGTTTACCGTGGGAATTGGTAAACAACCGCTGATCTTTCAAAAGGTTACTTATTTGGTGACTCGCAGGATCGATCAGATTGATCCTAAGACATGGTTGATTTTGGGGTTTTGACTAAGTTTGATAATGGTTAAATGGCAAGAAAATAAAGAAGCTTTATGTAAATTGCATAAAGAAGAAAACTTGGTAGAATAAAGGAAGGCTTGAAATAAAGGCTTCGACTGGAAAAGTAAATGAAGAGCAATAAAGTTCTGGAAAATAAATGACTTTGATTAATTAAAGTGGTGTTTCACACATACATTCTCAACAATTCTTTCTCTCACGCTGGGTACTCGAATCTATATGAGTGACTTGTATATAATTGTGAACACACGCGAAAAACTGCGTGAACTACTAATATTTATACTAAACACATCCCAAGTAACCGTCGGGCAGTTACGCTGCTTCGAGATGACTCCACTTGGCACGCTCACAGCCTTCGACGCTCTTGATCTTGACACGTTGCACTTGGTAACCGCTGGGAACCGTTTTCCCTCCAAACGTTTGAATCTCGAACCGTTCCACTCTGAGCAATCGAACACCTTCGTCGAGAAGCA